GCCAGTGACTTCAGCGTGGCTTTCCGTCCTCCTCTGTAAGCCAGGCTTTGTCAGCCCCTTTCCTATGGGCCTGTGTGTCATCATGAGTTGACGGGGGAGGGGGACACTGGCCCTGAGAGCTGCGAGTGGGGGCTGACTTTGAAGCTGCCCGCTCTTCCCCCCGGGGGCCTGTTGCGACTTCTCATCCATCACGTGGTCACAGCTGCGGCTCGCTCCTCAGGAATGCAGGGAGGCCACATCTGGCTGGGGTGGGTGCTGCCACCTCCCCCTCCGGGCCACGGGCCTCACATGTGTGTGCCTTCTGCTAAGATGGTGGCCCAGGCCCCAGATCTCAGCGGCAGTGTCATTCATGGAGTCATTTCCTCTCTCTCTGCTCATTGTCCAACATCCCTGCCTTCCCTCCCTGGTTGGAGGGCTGTGGGAAGTGGGAGAGGAAAGCTTTCGCCTTCCCCCTGCCGCTTCCTGCCCTGGATGTGCTCCCCACCCCACCCCTACCCCCAGCCTGGCCTCTCCCTGGAGAGGCCCTGGAAGACTGGACAGAATTGAGCAGAGTCAGTGCTGGGAACTCAGCTCCTGGGAGCCCCCAGGCTGGGGCTGTGCGGAGGGAGGATGTTTCAGGCAGAAGGGACGCTGGCTGAGGAGTGGTTGGGGTTTTCATTCATTCATTCATTCATTCATTCATTCAGCAAATCCGTACAGCAACTGTTTGACTCCTTCCCAGGTGCAGGTGTGTTGTATGTCTAGGGAGCGCAGCAGTGAGCGGAGCAACAGTAACTATAACCAGTTCTCTGGACTGGTGGAAGGCCTGGGCCCCAGCTTTAGACCTGACTCCTTGTTTGATGGCGCCTCTCCCCTGTGCCTCTTTCCCCGCCAGAACAGGTGTCTCACCCGTGTTTTGCCTACACCCCGACAGGCCAGGGCCCAGGGCGCCTGAGACCTCCCGAGCTGGGTGCTGAGGGCCTTGCTGTGCTGCCCGCGCACACGTCCAAGTTCCTCTACGCATGACCTCCACGGTCTGCGCCGCCCCCCCCCCCTAAGACTGCCCTCGCCCTCGTCCGGCACCCCATCCCTGGCTGCAGATCACGCCTGCTAGGAGCGAGAGTAAGAGGATGCCGAGGGGTGCAAGCGGGCTTGGGGCTCGGGCCCGGGTACTTTTCGGAGGTGGACAAGGTGGAGAGCGGTCCCTCCTTGTCCCTGGCATCAGAGCTGGCTCTTCGATGAGGTGCTGTGGCCAAGCTGCCCAGGAAGATGGGATCCTTGAGGAGGGAAAACAATCAAAGTGGCTTCGGTGACATTGGAGCCGAGCCTGGGAAAACGAATAGGATTTCAAGAGGCCGAGAAGGTGGGAGGGAGGCACCCCGGAATCGAGTTGCCTCTGAGCCTCTGTTTCCTCATCTGTAAAACAGGGGCGATGCTTAGGGGAGGGTTAAACGATACGTTGTATTTCCTGTGTATTTGAATGTCTGACGTGGTGAACACCACCCAGAAGGTGACCAAGAAATGTCCCTCCTCCTCTTTCTCGTATCCAGCGCTTTACATCCAGAGAAGAATCTGGACGTTTTCTGACTTCCTGGGTCAGGGTGGGCAGGGGTAGCTCTAACTGATTCGGGCTGTCTTGGCCCAGGCTCGAGTTGTCTCCATGCTCTGGGCCTTCATTTTCCCACCTGTAGAATGGGGTGGGGGTGGGGGGGCTTTCTCTGTAGCTTCCAAGCCCACTGTGCGAGCTCCTTTGCTGAGCGTCGGGACAGCCAAGGCTGAAGGACATGCCATCCGCCAGCCCCCGACCCGCGGTAGGTGTGTCCTCTTCTCTGTGGCCTGCAGGCTCCTCCCTGGATATCCTGCTGCCCCTGTTTGCTGATGCTGACCCCTCTGCCTGCAACACCCATCCTGCTGAAACCTTACTCCTGTGGGCAGATCCAGGTCCGGGGAGGGGACTGTGCCTGAGAAGCAGGTGTAGACGTTTCCTAGCCCACAACTTGACGGACTAGTTCTCGCTTTCTCTCCCTGGGCTGAGTTACAGTGAATGCGGGGTGTCGGGCGTCTTAAGAAGCGCATCACCTGGCGTCATCCTCTCACCCCGGCAGCCAGAGCAGCTGAAGGGCAAAGCTTTTCTGCACTGTCAACACTGGAGCCGGCAGAGCCAGGTTTTCCTGCCGCGGCTGGGAGGCACATCCGTGTGGGCAGTGGATTCGGTCTGTCAAGCCAGCTGCTATCTGCACGCAGGGGTCTGTGCTCAGTCTTCTGGGACCAGGCGTGCCGGCTGCCCACCCAGCCTGGCTGTGGAAATAAAAGGCCCATGAAATCATTGGCGCAAGCTCATCTGCTGGGGTGCAACTTAGAAACGCTAGTGATGCGCAGGGGTCACTCAAAGTGCCATCTGCAGGGACATCGCTAGAAATGCATCGTGTCCGCCCCTGCCCGGACCTGCTGAATTCCAGGTCTGCCTGTGAGCGAGATCGCCAGGTGATCCCTGCGCGTGTCACAGTCTGAGACTTGCTGCTTTCAAGCCTGGGCTAGGCCTCAGTCCCAGCCCTGTTTACTAGCTGTGTGACCTTACAAAGCTACCTCACCTTTCTGACTTGGCCCTCTCATCTGCAAAATGGGTTTGGGGAAAAATTCTTTACCTGAGAGGGTTAATAGTTCACATAAAAGCCAATGAGATATGTGTGCACAGCACGGAGCCCAGTACGTGGCACCCAGATGTGCTCGCCAATCAATGGCTGCTGCTAATGTGTCCGGAGATCCAAAGACGTGGCTCGTGTTCTCGCTCTGTGTTGACTTGAGTCAAATCACTTTCCTTCTCGGCCTCATTTTCCCCATCTGTACAATGGGTCTGTTGGCCCCTACCCCACCATTGTTGTGTGAAGATTGCTGAAAGGAGAAGAGAGGGGGCTGGGCCTCATCCCCAGGAGCCCATGTAGGAAATGGGTGTGTGTGTGTGGGGGGGGGAGGCGGGTGGAATGCCCTGGGTGCCCCTTCCCTGCTGCCTCTGCTGTAAGATGCAGTGGTGAGGCTGGGCCCTCCCTTGCACCTGCTCCTCTCAGTGGCTTTGGAATCAAGTCCTCTGCCCCTGCTCAGAGCAGCATGGCCAGGAGAGATGATTCAGCACGGGACCTGTGTTCTGGGCCTTGGCATTTGAGGGAAGCCCCAAGATGCCCCATACTGCTGGGCGGGGACAGAGGTGTCCTGTGAATTTCTCCCCCACCCCGGGATTCCTGTTCCCAAGGACTGGACCCCTGGTGTGGCCCTCGACATACTTTTGGGTGACTTTGCAAATTCCTGGCATGCTCTGGGCGTCAGTTTCCCTGTTTGTACCACGAGAGTGTTCAGTGAGACGGTGCCACCTGGGTTAGAAGCTTACGTTCCTTCTCTGTCCCTGGTTAGCTTCCTGTGTCCCTCATCCCTGGCAGGAGCCCCCGCCCAGCTGCACTGCCCTCTAGGTCCTAGACCCTGTGGCCCACGGCAGAGCTAGGCCTGGCTGCCGGTGTTGGGGGCTGGTAAAGACCAAAGGGAACGGGGCAGAAGGGGAGCATGTGTGTGTCTGTCCCCCAGGAGCCCTGGCCCCGGGCCGTCTTGTCTCATGTGGGAGAGAGGAGGAATTTTCCTCTGTGTGTGCAAACAGTATCCGTTTTCTCTTGTTTCCAAAAGCTGGTGACGTAACCCACTCTTTATCCATTCCTCCTCTGTGGCCTATTTTTAGCTGGCCCCGACAGCATCCATCCTAAAAGGCTTCCAGATCTGCCTGCTCTGCGGCCATGTAGGGAGGCAGTCGTTGGGCAAGGAAAGAGAGAAATTCGTCTGTCTGTCCCAGGATGGAGAGGGGAAAGGAGCCTGCCCCTGGCGTCCTCTGGGAGGGGCGGGGCGGGGGGTGGGGGGCGTGGAGAGAAGGATCTGGGTGGGGAGCCGGGTTAGGGCTCTGCCGGGCCCTGGGTCCATGGGGAACCCAAGAGGGTTACAAGCACTCATTCCAGAGCCTCCAGCCCGGGTTTGAGCCCTGGCTGCACTTGTCCTCACCCTGACCTTGGGCACCTGACTCTCTGCCTTGCTTTGTTCACCTGTAACACGGGGATAATGGAGGCACCTACGCTAGAGGGTTGTTATGAGGGTGAATTATACTGTGTAGAACGGTGCCTGGTACAGAGCAGGCACTCAGTAAAGGTGAGCTGGTACTGTTGCCGTGATTATATTGATTATCATCCCGTCCTACTTCCAGTGATTGCTGGGGGTACACTGTGAGCTCCGAGGTGCCTCCTCCCCTCTATTCTTTCCTGTCCAGCTTCAAACAGTGTATACATGAACGAGGCAAGACATGTAAAGCCCCTGGAACTGGGCCTGGAACAAAAGAACCACTAAAGAATTGAGAAATGTATTTATTATTTTTTGTTTTAATGTAATAAAACAGACCTGGGTTTGAAGTCCAGCCCCACCTACTAACGAACTGTGTGTTTTGGGGCAGGACATTTAACCTCTCTGAGCCTCAGTTTCGTCATCTGTAAGATGGGGATGGTAATAACTATGTAGGAGATGTCTTTGATGGTTAGGGTAGGCGGCAGGACACATAGACTCTAAGATTATAATAGTTAACACAATAAAAAGTTTGTTTCTTGTGGGTGCAAAGAAGAACGTGAGTGTAGTGCAGGCTGCTGCAGCCTGGCTCCTGAGTGCCGGTCTCAATACTGCCTCTTTCGGCAACAGCAGGAGCAGCAGCACTTTACAGTTTGCATGAAGGGAGTGGCAGTCTCTCCCACCTTCGTCTCCCCATGGTGCCATGCTCATGCACTGAGCATGACACTGGTCCCCACCACCTGGTATTATGGCCGTGCATCAGCCTGGCTATCTTCCCCAGTACCACCGCCACCCCTAGACTGGGAGCTCCTGGATGGCAGACAGGGATGGAGTCACTGCTGTGCCTTCCTTGCCCAGCCTGGGGACAGACCCAGGGTGTGTGCCTGCACTGTCTGGGTCCCCCCCTCACCACCTGTCCTTCTCGCCTCTTACAGATGGGAGGAGGAACTCGCCAAGCGCATGAACCTGCAGACCATGGTGGACACGCTGCAGGAGGTAAGAGCCCTCAGAGGTTCTGACCAGAGGCTCGTGGGAGACCCATGTGGCCAAGGGGCACAGTCTTCAGAGGGAAAAGCTGGGAGCTTTGTGTTACCTCCTACTGCCTCAGTCTCTGCTCGAGAGAGCCAAGAGGCCTTTTCTGCGTCTCCTGCAGGGACCAGCCCAGCATTGCAGAAAATCTCGGGGATAAGAGTTGGGAAGCCTGGATTCAAGTCCTGCCATTGTCCTGGCTTTCGGGGTGACCTTGGGCTAGTGACTCCCTTCTGCCTCCTCCTCACCGGAGGCTTGGACTGTATGGCCTCTAAGCACCCCTCCCCCAGCTTGCAGGAACTGACTTGGGACTGAATGCCTTGGAGAAGGCAGTGGGCATGTCACCAGGCAGGCTCTCAGCCCCAGTGGGCTCTCCACGGTGGGCGTGAGGACCTTTCCTTGCTGTTCTGGGCCCTGCTCCTCACCCGCCTGCTGGGTACCCTGGGCAGCAACCTTCACCTCCTTGGCCTCTCTTTTCCTCTCAGTCAAATGGGCACAAGAATAGTAGCCCCACAAGAAGGCATGGAAAGCTCTTTCAAACATTTTTAAAGATTGCTTTCTGATAATATCAAGCATTGCTTTTCTAAGACAGATACAGATTAAAATAATATCAATATGTCGAAGGAAAAGGATGAACGTCCCCCATTCTTATAACAAAAGTGCTTTTTACTTTACCAACATGACATGTTCATAGTCAAATATTTGGAAAGTTTAGAAAAGCTCAGAGATGAAAACAAAACTTTCTTTCAGCTCTGCCCCTCCACTGTTGACAAATTGGCACGTGATCTTCCGGTCTTTTCTGTGCAAACACACATATACTCTATATGTGTACATTCTATTAGGTTGACACACGTGACGTTGCCAGTTTGGGGATCAGAGATAGTCAAATACTGGCAGTATCACATGAACTGACCTACTATTTTTACCTATTGGGATCACCTGTTACATTAACCCAGCGGTTCTCAACCTTCCTAATACAGTTCCTCATGTTGTGGTGACCCCCAACCATAAAATTATTTTCGTTGCTACTGTATAACTGCAATTTTGCTACTGTTGTGAATCGTAATGTAAATATCTTTTTGTTTTCCGATGGTCGTAGGTGACCCCTGTGAAAGGGTCGTTCGACCCCCAAAGGGGTCGCGACCCACAGGTTGAGAACCGCTGCATTAACCTGTTCGTTTCCTCTTAATATCTGCCATGGATTTTTCCATGCGGTAAATATTCCTTTGAGAAGTGTTTTAAGCTGGACAGTGGGTAGCCAGGCTGGGCTGAGGTCATTGGCACCCCTTCCTTAGCGTTCAGTCACCCAGCCTGACTGGACCCAGGTGCTGAGTCCCTCCTACCCCTCAAAGTACTTGCCCCCCCTAAACCCACCCCATCTCCGTCCCCATAGGCGGCACAGGAGGCTGAAGCCATCCAGGAGGAGATGAATGAGAAGATCGAGCGGCTCAAGGCCGAGCTGGTGGTGTTTAAGGGGCTCATGAGTGATGTAAGTGCCAGCGGCCTCCACCCCCAGGCGTCATGACCTCCCCCCACACCCGTCATGCAAAATGCTTCCTTCACTCCGAGGCTCGGCTTCTAGTTAAGAGTCCTGGCTGGCTGCGTTTGAGCCGTGAGGATGACGGATGCATCGGAGACCAGGCACCCTCCTCCTGACCCCTCCCCACTTCCGCTTCCCTTGGTCTGAGTAGAGATGCATTAATCTGCCGCTTAACCCATCCTGCCCTGCCCGGGGCTCCTCTGATGGTCTGTGTGTGTTGGCTCCGACCCCTCCCCAGCACTGTGATTGGGGGCGGGGGTGGCCATGGGCCTCGGTGTCTGAGTACAGGTTCCGGGAGGCCCTGTGCCAGCCTGAGAGGCTCCCCAGGCCAGCGGCCTTCCGCAGGGGTGCTTTGTAAAGTTGGAGAAGGCCAGTGTGGGTGTCCTTCTGACAATCAGCCTTTCTGAGAAACTGTGGGGCCGGGAGCTGTTAGCAGCCAGGGACTCCTTCCTGCTGGGAATTTCCTGCCACCTTCAAGCAGTGGGCAGTATGTAGGGACAGCCGACAGAAGGAAAGAGCTGCTCACGGGTGACTCGGCCTGGTGCGGCGTCTCCCACGAGGGGTGTGAAGCTGGGCGTAGCAGGAAGAAGCCTCCGGGGGCTCCAGGGGGAGGCCTCCTGGCTTCCCCTCACTGAGGTTCAGCGGGACACACCCCTTGTCCCGAGCAGGCCCCCACTGTCATCTGTGGGAGGAATCCTGGAGAGAGAGCAAGCCGCCTTGGCAGGCACCTGTGTGCGGGGGACAGGTGTCGAACGCCGGGTGGGATAGAATGGAAGTCTTTCAACAGTGGGCGCTGTCTTTCTTTTTTCCTTGTTCTAACAAAATAAACACTGACACTGTGCGTGCTGAGAAGATGGCTTCCAGCCCTTAGGGAGACTGGCAAACACGGTCTCACACTGTCCACTCGGTGCCAGAGCCTGCAGCTCCCACGGCCCCTCCACCCCGGCCCCAACCTGAGCAGCGCTGGTCCAACCCTTCACACCCAGGAAAAGCTCAACGCCCCCCTTGGACTCCGGGGCCTCCCACCCGACACCTAGGGGTCCCCCATCTCTGCCCAGCATCCCCATCCCCGTGCTTGCTCCACCCCTCGCTCACGTAACCCCTGCTGTCCTCCCTGCAGCCCATGACAGACCTGGACACAAAGATCCAAGAAAAGGCCATGAAAGTGGACATGGACATCTGCCGCCGAATCGATATCACGGCCAAGCTGTGCGATGTCGCACAGCAGCGGAACTCGGAAGACGTGTCCAAGATCTTCCAGGTGACTAGGGCCGTCCTGCTCACCAGCTGCCACTCCCCACTGCCACTGCCCCCCTCGCAGAGAGCCCCGGCCTCAGCCCCTGCCTGGCCAGCCCCTTTTCCCTCACATGCCACCCACTCGCCTCCCCTCTGCACAGTGCTAGCATGTACCCAACCCTCTCACCCCACCAGGAGAACAGAATCAGGGACTCTAGACGCATAGGCTCATCTGACTCCATCATCAAGGCTGACTGCTTCGTCCTATAGCTGAAGAGACCACTGCCCCCTGGGGGCAGGGGGAAGTGACGTCACAGGCTCAAGGCATGAAATGACCAAGCTGGGGCTAGAACTCAGGTCTCCTGACCCTCCAGGGCTTCGTCCGCTGGCCCACACCAGCCCCACGTCCTGCCTCTTCCCCTGCGTAGTCAGACTGGGCACCATTGCCATGGCTGGGGAGCCCTGGCCAGGCTGTAGGAGCACTGGGTGAACTGGCCTGAGTCCTAGCAGATGAGCCTCAGAATTCCGAGGAGGAGCAGTTGGCCTCGATTTTTCATTCCCACTGGAAAGGCTTTCAGTCTCCCACCCCTCCCCCCTCAACAAACGAGTGTGTGTTGTGAGAGAAGGCAATGGGTTTACTGGCAGCTGTCTTCCAGGGAGGGTTTGGGGGCTAGTCCAGCTGCCTGAAGGGCACGCGTCGCTCTCCGAAGGCCGCTTCTTGAGCCTGGGCTGCGGTTTGGCTTTTGCTTGAGCCCAGGGCAGGACGGTGTGTTGTTGCTTTGGGTGTGTAGTGGGGTGAGATCTGGGCTTCCCTGGGCTCTCTGTCCACATCCGGGGCCTTCTCGCTGCCCCTCTGCTGGAAAGCAGGGGAGACCATTCCAGCGTCGGTTTGGTTTGTTCATGTCTTGTCTGCTTGGAGTGGAGGAAGCCTGATGAACATGGGGCCGCCTGCCTGTTGCCTTTGCATGAGAGCAGGAGGGCTCTGGGAGGCATGGAGCCATCTGGGCCTTCGTGAGGGCTTCTCCAGCTCTCTGGCCGGCTCTGAGACATCCCAGGCGCCTGCGTCCCAGTCTGGCCTGCTGCTCTTCCCAAATCTTGGGGCTGCTCCTCTGGTGAAGGGGTGAGCTGAGCCGGCCCCGCCACCGGGCAGGGAAGGGCCCAGGCTGTCAGTCCTCCATCCTGCATGTTCCCCACCTCACACTTCCTGCTAATCTCGCCTGCTTCTTAGAGGACCTGTGCGTCTTTCCCAGCAGTGGCTGGCCCCAGCCACGCTCCACCCGTCCCGTGGGATGCCGCGCCCTACCCGCCATCCCAGCAGAGCCTCCCAGTTACCTTGATTTCTCCCTTTCCGGGTCAGGTGGTCCCCAAAAAGAAAGAGCGTAAAGTGGCTTCGGACGAGGACATCTCTGAGCAGGACGGGGAGGTGAACCGGTTCTCAGACGAGGAGGTCGGTTCCATGAACATCACAGACGAGATGAAACGCATGTTTAACCAGCTGTGAGTATCCCCGCTGCCCCAGCTGGGGGTTCTACTCCGCTTCCTCAGATCACTAGGGCCGGGGTGGCAAACTGATGGCCTGGGCTGACGGGAGCCCGCACATGTGTTTTGTCTGGCCAGCATGGTGTTCTGAACAAATTTGGATTCATTTTTAACATTTATAATTTGGGGAGTTTCACGTTTTCAGAAAAGCCCAAATGGTCGTGGTGGTTGGTATTTATGTGGGAGTCTAGACCAAGCCTTAGACCCGCGCCCACTTGTTTTCCTTGTGGTGGGATGTCGAGCTGAGTCACACACAGGCCCACCGCTGGCCACGCACCCTCTGTAAGATGCTTCACAAACGCGATTTCATCAACTCCAGACAATCAGCCTAGGAGGTGGGGTTATCACTCCCCTTTTGTAGGTGAGGAAACCGACTCAGAGAAGGGAAGTGACTTGGCCAGGACCACTCCGCTAAAACATGGCAGAGCTGGGATTCAGAGCTAGGCCTGTCTGCCTGTGTTCCCTCACTTTGAGATGCTGCCTGGGTTAGTGGCAGAGCCTGGGCTGGATGTGGTCAGTGGTAGGTTGGAGCCAACTGGTCCCAGCTTGTGAAAGCTGAGTGTGCATGCACATCTGTCCACTCCAGGTTCAGTGATGGCATATGAGTAGCTTAAAATTTGCCAGGGTGGGAAATTGGCAAATGCTACTAATCTGCTCCCCCTCCCGTCCCCCAGGGGAGACCTGGGAGGCAGGAATGCTTTGTGGCCTTAGCCTATCCAGGTCCATGTTCTCAGCCCTGATCCAGCTCTAACTCTAATCCATACAGTACCCTAAAGTGAGGTCGGGAAGGGTAGAGGTGCCCCTGTGGGCATTGCATGACTTGCCTGAGGGCTCAGAGTCCAAGGGCAGGGCTGGGACTGGGCCTCTGGGGTCACCTTTCCTCCTGCCCCAGTGGCCTGTTCCCACCTGCGCTCTCTGGAGTCCCTCAAAGTTGGGCACCTGAGCTCTGAAAACTTTCAGCGTTTCCCCAGGACCCCACCGCCTTCCCCAACTCACCCTTCCCCTGCATCAGAGTCTCAGGGCTGAGCAAGCTTCCTGACCTGCCACTCTCCCCTGGGGTCCCGGGTTTCCAACAGCAGGGCTAGGTTTGCACTGTTGGCTCAGATGGCCTTCACAAAACCTCCCAGAGCCCCTCCTGAGAGGGCACGCTCCCCTTAGCAGATTCCTGACATCGGACTCGTTTCAAAAGTAAGGTCATGGGACTCTCTTAGCACTTCCTGCAAGGCTCTGGGGTTAGCTTACCATTAGAGTCCAGCGATCACTCTGGCCAGCCCCTTCCTGTACAGATGGGGAAACTGAGGCTCAGAGAGGGGTGTGCAAAGAACTGGGACACAGCTCCTCAGTCCAGTGCTTTGTCCCCAGCCCGCTGTCTTCATGCTTGGAAGGGATGTCCCCCTGCCCTCTCTACAGCACCACCCCTTCCCTGGTCCCATTGCAGCTGAGCCCAGTAGAGAAGACGGCCATTGGAACCATTTGCTCCACACTTTCCTATACCTGCCACTCGCCTGAAACAGAACTGAGATGGGGCTATGTTTTGGGGGTGTGCTATTTGAGGGTGACAAGGAGACTCCTAGACTCTTGATTCCTCTTTCAACATCCAGCCACCCCCACCCCCCCTCAATCTCACACTCTCATCTTTTGCTGACGGGAGGGGCTTTGGAAGAGAGCCCTTGGTTGGGTCCATGCTTTCCAAATGTTGCCCTGGGCACCCCTGAGCCTGAGGCTGGATTGTATGCTCCCCAGACCCAAGCTTGTTTCGTTGAATTAAAGAAATCATTGTCTCCGTTTTCATAAAGTCCCCAGGGAATCATTAGGCTGCCCAGAAATGGGTGACTGAGAGGGACAGTCCCCAAAGCAGAGTCCCAGGGCTCCACCAGCAGTGTTCCTTTGTGCAGGAAAGAGGGTCCCAGTGCTGTAGAAACAGGCACCTGAGTGAGTGTCGACAGGCCTGAACTGGATTCAGTATCCAATTATAATAGATCGATCAGTTGCCTAAATTAAAAAAGTAATCTTCTGATCACCCTTCCACACGTGCAGTTCTAGCCAAGGCCATGCTGATCCCGCCCTAGGTGGGGCCCTGGCCCCTGTCACAGACATCTCCGCTAGCTATGGGCTGGGACCCAAGCCGGTTCTACTTAAGTCTTTGAATAATGCACCCGTGTCAGGCTGTTTTGTTTTGATCAAAATCGGTTGCTTGGGCTTCAGACCAAGGAGAGGGGGGAAGAATTTGCTGCTTTCTCTGTGCTGTGGCCAGCCCTCCTCCTCAGCCCCGCCCACCAGATCTGTGAGGAGGGGGTGCCTCTTCCGAGCCCTGCCTCTGGTTCAGCTTCCTGGCTTTTCTGGCTTCCCATTCCTCAGCTGGGGTTTTCTTCAGATCCCAGACTCTGGGAAGGAAGTGAAGTCAGCAGCCGAGTTTGTGATGCTGTGCCGGTCGGTCGACCCCGGGGATTCATCTGGAGCTAGCCCCGGCTGGCGGCGCTTTCTCCTGCAGCCCAGGCCCCGGCTCTGCTCCCTGGACTCACAGAGCCACCTACCGGCTCTGGCAGGGACTGCTTTTTGGCGGCAACTTGGCTCCAGGGGGAATGCTCGTCTGCTTTTCACCAGAAATTCTTTCCTCTTGGGCCCTGCCCAGTGCCGTGCGCCCCCCCCCCCCCCCCCCCGCGCCTGGACCATTATGGGAAGGTTGGGACGCGCCAGGGAGGAGTTGAGGGAGGGATTGTAGGCAGTGGGGAGAGCCCAGTGGGGCATCTGGGACACACAGCTTCCTTTTCGGCGGACTCACTGGGTCAAGTGTGTTAACTACTGCAGACACCAACCAGCCTTCCAATCTGAGTAATGAGCGTGTTCGGCTGAATGATTTTTAGGGTCCCTTCCAGTTGGGAGAACCATGCATCTCCAGGAACCCCTCAGTCCCAGGCAAAGCCATATATATGGTCCATCACCCTACTTAAAACTCTAGTAAGTAGGGAAGCCCTGAAGTCACCCAGGCTGTGATTTCAAACCCAATCCCCAGAATGTATTATTCCAGTCCATCTAATCCCTCTGAGGATTGTTGTGAGGATGGAATTAATTGCATTTTTTTTAAAGATTTTTTTATTGGGGAATTGGGGGGATGGGAACAATGCTGGGGAATTGGGGGAAGGGGAACAGACAAGTTGCTGTCGTTTTGTTCTTCAGTCTAGTTGTGGAGGACGTTGCTTCACTGGCCCAAGTTGGCACCATCATTGTGCTCTTCCCGGGTGAGGCAGATCAGTCGCCGGCTTCTGGACGGCCGCTCACTGCGGCTGCTGGCCGCTCACGCTGGCTGCTGGCCGCTCACGCTGGCTGCTGGCTACAGACGGTAGCCCATGGCAACCCACTGCCACAGGGGCTGCAGCCCACGCCGTCGCCGGCGACCCACGGCAGCCCAGCTCCAGGTTGAGCTGTTGTTCAGCATCTTAGCTGCAGAGGGCAGTGTCACTGGCCCTCATATGTGGAATCCGAACCGGGGCCCTCTGGCATCCCAAACGAGTTCTTAACCATCGCGCCACTCGGCCGGCCCTTAATTGCATTTTAATATGTGCGCAGTGGCCAGTCTGTGCCCAGCACATGGTGGGTGCCTGGTGATGTTTTGACGAGGGAGGAAAAGCTGGAGGAAACAGGAATATCTGGCTTTCAGCCCCAGGGTCTGTTACAGGCTATCAGTGTGACTTTGGACAAGTGAGTCCTTTCCTCATCTGTAAAATGGGAACACTAATACGAACCTTCCTGAGTTGTGGAGATTCCACAAATCACCTCGTACAAAGTAGGGGCCCAAGAGATGAGCTATTAAATAAATGAAAAAGTTACAAGATTGGACTTGGGAGGAAAATACCTTCAGTCTCCACTAATTATAAAGCCCAGCATCTTAAAAAATATGCACTTTGCAATTGTATACGGACTATGTAAAAACATTCTACATTTTAAAAGAGTTCAACTCCAAGTGTAAGGCGCACGTCCCCTTTGTCGCCACCCCGTCTTTTTGGAGGGCTGCATTGTAGGAGCATTCCTGTTGGGTCAGTGCCGCTTTCTCTCCCCACCCTGACCCCTGGAGCCTGGCTCCTGCTCAGTCATGCCCTCCTGTGCCACCCCCGTAGGCGGGAGACCTTTGACTTTGATGATGACTGTGACAGCCTGACGTGGGAAGAGAATGAAGACACGCTGCTACTCTGGGAAGACTTCACCAATTGCAATCCATCCATTGACCTTCAGGGCGAGGTGCGCCCCGGGGCTGGCTCCCCAAAGGCGGGCGGGGGGCAGGGGCCTGGGGGCACCATCTTCCCACTGTCTCTTGTCCCTGTTCTTTTCCTGCAGCCCCCACCACTCAGTCACATTGTCCCCTTTGTTCTTTTCCCCCAGCAAGAGGAAAACTTGGGCAACCTGATCCACGAGACGGAATCCTTCTTCAAGACGAGAGACAAAGAGTACCAGGAAACGATAGGCCAGATCGAGGTGAGGGCTCGGGCTGTGCCGCCCTCCAGTGAAACTCACGGAGGTCACATGGCTGAGACCCCCAGTGACTAAGTGGCCACGTGGGCAGGGGCTGGCACACTGGGGCAGGCACAGACTCAGGAGTCAGGAGGCCTACCGATTCCCTTCCTGGTGCTGGGCTTGTCATAAACCCTCACGGGGCCTCAGTTTCCTCATCTGTAAAATGGGGGTGGTGATTCCTGTCTGCCCCAGAGGGTTTTTGTTGTTGTTGTTATTTTTTTCCTTTTTATTTTTGGTTTCAGGTGTACAAAACAACATGAACATTAGACATGTACACACCTCACAAAGTGATAACCCCCCAAGTCTACTACCCATCTGACACCATTCATAGCTATTAGAATACCATTGACTACATTCCCTATGCTGTACTTTACATCCCGTGACCATATAGATGTGTGTGTATATGTGTGTGTGTGTATTAAATTATAGTTGACATTCAGTATTATTTTACATTAGTTTCAGGTGTACAGCACAGTGGCTAGGCATTTATATAATTTAAGAAGTGATTCCCCGTAAGTCTAGTACCCATTCGACACCATACACAGTTTTACAATGTTATTGACTGTATTCCCGTACTGTATTTCACATCCCCATCACTATTTTGTGACTACCAATCTGCATGTCCTAATCCGAAGCTCGTTTTGTTTCGTTATTCAACTGAGATGGTGATCCCAGAATCACAAGAGCTGACGGTTGAGTGCCATCAAGGGATGCTGGCCCTGAGTAGGCCCTTTAGAAGTACACTCTCCCTAGGGGGACGCACCATTTGGTAGAGCAGAAGGGTCAGAAACGTGAGAGACCTGAGGACTTTTCTAGTCAAGTTCATAGAAAGGAGGGCAGGGACGCTGGGCAGGGTGGAGTTGGCAGAACCGGTGGAGTTCATCAGGGAAGGCTGCCCGTGTGGTTGCTAAGCAGCGCGTCTCCTTTCACCAAAGCCGTTCTAGAGGCCGTGGACCAGTACAGAGAGAGCAGAGGCCAAGGCAGGGCCCTGCGGACGTGGTGTCCAGGGGTGGCCTGGATGCTGCCACCACTGAGGACGTGAGGAGGGACTTGCTGAGGGTTTTGCTACGAGGATGACTTGACCTCCCCCTTAACCCACGTTGGTTCCCCTCAGCTGGAGCTGGCCACGGCCAAGAGCGACATGAACCGGCACCTGCATGAGTACATGGAGATGTGCAGCATGAAGCGCGGGCTGGACGTGCAGATGGAGACCTGCCGCCGGCTCATCAAAGGCTCTGCAGACAGGTACTTGGCCCCGTCCACCCTGGGGGCGCAGCAGTTGGGTTCTTGGGGGGAATCTGTGGGGCCGCAACTTACAAGCCTGGCCTGTCTCATCTGCCCAGCCCACGTGTCCGTCTGTGCATCCGTCCAATGAATATTAGTCACCTACCTACTATGTGCTAGGTGACTTACCTATCTAATCTCTCATACCTCCCTGCCCCCACTGATTTCACAGCTGCTTATCAGAGGCCCACTGTGTGCAAAGTCATGGGGATACAGTGATGAACACCACAGTCACAGCCCCTGCCCTCATGAGCTTACATCCCACTTTCTGCTGAACTGGGGAGTAGAGGAGGTGGACAGGGCACCCCTCTCCACCATGCCTGACAGGCTTACATTTGTGCATAGGGAGCAATTTCACTTCCTTTCCCGTCTTCCAACCCAGGGCCAGATAGATGGGTCTGTCCCCAGGAGACTGACATGCATCAGGCCCCTTTTATTTGCCGGAGGACACTAAAACAAAGACAGAGCCTCGTTAGGGAGACAAACATACCAATAATAACGTGGGATAATACATGTAAAATACTTGCCACAAAGCACCAATAAATGTTCACTATAAGTTCTCTCTCATTACGAGCATATTCCTGCAGGCTGGATTCAGGCAGCTCCGTGGGAAGCTGCGCGTGGGACCCTAGGCTGAGCATGTCCTGTCTTTAGGTCACGGAATCCCCCACTATCATTGTCTCCGTTGTTCAAATGGAGGAGCCAATACTTAGGCGGGTTGAATCGTTGGCCCAAGGCCCCCCAGCTCATCCGTGATAGAACCAGCATGTGAACCCAGGGCTATTAACCGCTCTCCAATATGGCCTCCCTTTGAGCTCAGAGTTCATTGGAGTTTACTGAGCACCTACTATGTCCCCAGATCTGTGTTAGATGAGTGGAGGGTAAGAACCAAGCTTGCTCCATGGTCTCTGCTCCTAAGGGGCTTTTGGCACCCAGAGCAATTAGAGGCAGTGCAGGGGTTTCCAGGGAGTCTCGAGAGCCATATTCAACATGTGAGCCAAGGGGAGTCTAAGGAAACAGAGTAAGGGCAGGGTCTCGGGACAGGATTCCCCTCTGAGGTTAGATCTTACAGGACTGGAAGTGCTGCTGAGCCCTTTCCGCTCCTTGCATCCCTTCTGGGGTCCTCAGGTTGCCCTCTGACCATCCCCTCTTCTCTTGTGCTTTCCAGGAATTCACCGTCCCCCAGCTCTGTGGCCAGCAGTGACTCAGGAAGTACAGACGAGATCCAGGATGAGTTTGAGCGGGAGGCAGACGTGGAACCCATGGTCAGCTGATGACTGAGGCCCCCATGCCTGCTGGTCTTGGTGATGGGGCCTCTGCACCCCTCTCCCCATGGGGCCAGGAAGCTCCTCGGAGTGGGGCTCCAGTCCTCACCACACAGACTTCCTCTGCCCTCCCTTCTCTGGAGGCCCCAAGGGACCGCTGCTTCCTTCCTTCCACCCACCACCAACCAGTGCCCCTTCTCCATCCACCCACCCAAGGAATGGTGCTCTCAATTTCTATTGTTCTCCACATTACAAATGCAGATTTCTGTCCGGACGATGCAGTGTTAACTGTGCCTTTTCCCTTAAGCTGAGCCACTTTGAGCTCCAAAGAATTATTCCTAGCAGGTGTTTTTATACAAAAGTTTAAGACGAGGGCGGGGCCCTAGGCATCATTTAATGTGGTTTTTTTCTACCCTCCCACCTGCTCCTCTGATTGGCCATGAGTTATGCCCCTCTCCTCTGCCAGCCAATGCTGATGGAGTCTGGCTTGGGGTGGTCCACCTCCGACCAGGATGGAGCTGTTTGCTTCTGCAACCTCTCCAGGCCTGGGTGAGGACCTCCCAAGGGTTTTTCACTTACCAAAAAAAAAAAAAAAGGTGGAAGGAGGGAGGGAAGACAAATTTTTATTTTCTTTTTGGATCGAGTGGCAAAGCAGAGGGACAAGGCACTGTGGGGGAAGGTGGAGCCTCACTGTGTTTAAACTACTATGCAAAAAAACAAAACAAACAAACAAAAAAGCAGCTTGCCTTATATACTGTGGAAGGTAGGCCCTCTCCCAGACTCACGGTTTTCCCTTGGAGCTGGGAGGCCAAAGCTTGGGCGGTGTCTCTTGCAGCCTCTCAGGGTGAGCACTGACTCGGGAGGGGGTTCGGTCAAGGTCGGTAAGGAGGCCTGGGACCAGCAAGGCCCTTGAACACCTGACTGCTTTCTTGGGACCTCTGTGGGTTTTGGGGGGGTCTTTTATTGCCCTGATGACTTGATGTTTCCCCCTCTATTTCCAGCCAACTCTAAGGGGTTAGATCTGTAATTTCTCTGTGAGAAAGTCTGAAGAGAACCAGGCCTGGTATCACCCCTTCCACAGTGGAGCTGGGTTAGACCCAACTGCCGCCATCTTGGTTCTCCACTGTGTCCCAGTTGCCCACTGTTTGGCCACTGGCAGGCGCTGGGAAGGGGAGGGGAGGGAGACGATGAGGGCTGCGGGCAGATTGGAGGTGGTGGGAGTAGGCGCTCCCATGAGAACCATCCTTGTTTTGCTCATGGACGTATATATGTAAGCTTCTTTCCATACTTTACTTGACTGACCAGTTACGGAATTAATTGAGCCAGTATCTCTCCAAGACTTGAGTGGGCCTGAGTTGAAGGGCGCTGAGTGGGCCTGAGTTGAAGGGCGCTGTGTTAGGCCACCTGCTGAATCTCAGCTTGGAGCCAGCTGATCATGCTTTGCTTTTTTTTTTTCTTTTGCACCCACTGCTGTGGGTATCATGGCTATTTTGCTTTTGTTGGCCCCGCAGCTCCCCCTGGAGGTCAAAGGAGCAAACTGTGCCCAAGGACTAGAGCGCTGTACCCCCCACTGCTTATGTCTGGAGGCCAAGGAGGGGCTCTGGCTTTCAATAGGATGTGACCCCCAGTCTCTCCTCCCCGGGGTACCAGCCACCTTTAACCAGCCGCGTTCTCTTCTGTTTCCCCCACCTGTTCTGCAGTCTTAAAACCATTGTATATAATATTCATATAATATATATGTAGAGAGAGGAAAAAAAGAGAGTGTGTGTTAGTATGTTATTTTTATTTATCAGAACATGGTGGCCTTCATCATTTTTTTCTTGTTCTTCTTCTTCTTTTGCTGTTGTTGGGGCGGGTGGTGGGGCACCTCCTACTCTTCCCTGTGGCATGCTGGCTGAAAGGCTTCTGTTCCCAGCATCTCTTATTAGCGACACAGTCCCTTGGTAGGTACCAGGAGGAACGATGGTTTCGGAGAAGAGACAGCCCCTTCCCCTCCTCCTTACCCTTGTTCTAAAGGTTACAGGGTTCAAACATGCCTGATTGTTATTGTCGTTATTGTTATTATTGTCTTAGTTTAGTTTTATTTTAACCAAAGGTTATCAGAGCCAGTTGGGCTTGGACCTCAGCTGCTAAAAGGATTTTCCGTTTTCAGGAGGGTTGGGAAGATGGCCGCCCTCGAAGGCCTCGGCTGTCCGGGACTGAGGAAGGCAACGAATGGTGTGGGCAGGCAGGTAGAGTGGAAGCCAGCCCCCAGTTGTCCCTCGAGGTGGCAGGAGAGTGATAGACCTATCGTTAGAGTTAAGACAGTGAGGCAACAGTGTAAGTATTTGAGGGTAGCTAAGGTGACGGTGGCGATTGGTGTCCAGTGGTATTATTTTTGCTTTTCCCCTTGTATACATAGGACGTTTGTCTCTGGGGACTAGAGTGCTCTGAATTTGTCCAAGGAATATGGAAGTGGGAGGCGCCAGAGACAGACACTGGCCGGAAAGTTCTTTCCTGCTGGTTTTCAAGAGCTGCTCTCCCCTGGGGAGCAAGGATTTGGGGCAGGTGGATGGTGGGGGCTGGGGGACAGCAAGGGTGTGGCCAACCTGCCTCCCTAGCAGGGTCTGGGGTCTTGGCCTGGCTGCCTCCCTCCCCACCAAGTTCTTTTCTGAATTAGTTGCCAGTGGGCCCTTGCCATGAGCCCACAGCTTGCCAAGAAAGACCCCAAAACTCAATGGGGCAGCCCCAGGTCCAGATGGGACACGCTGGCCCGTCTTTTGTAAAGCTGTAAATACTTAATTTTGGTTTTCTATTTCTAAGCCCGGTGTCATATTGACATTGGTAGTTTAGATCGCTCTCAAATGGACTCTCCTGTGCTGCCTTCTCTCACTCTCCTATTTTTGGGGGTTTTATAAAAAGAGAGGATTGGGGAGGGGCAGGGAGAGTCGCTTCCCTTGGTTCCCTGGTTGTGGAACACACACACACACACACACACACACACACACACACACACACACATGGAGTTGGAGACTCCAAACAGGAAAAAAATTGTTGGCAAGTAAACACACTTTATTTTCTTGTGGCAATATATCTTGAGGTCTCTGAAGGGCCAGTCCATCTCAGACTTAACTCTGTGGGTGCAGCTCAGATGACAGGGAAAATCAAACCACTTTGGCTTGGGATGGCGGAGAGGGTGTGGGGTAGGGGGATACTATAAGGTGTAACTTAAGCTAAATGTAATCTATTTATAAAGCAAGAGACTCTCATCTATTTTTATGAAAGGAAACGTTTTTTAATCTAGGGTAGACAGTTGTAGTAGCCCAGCATTTTTCTGTGGACACGATGCATGTTGCTGCTGGATTTAATATAATCGGTACCCCTCATCCTGTCTCCCTGTTCTCACCGCCTACTCACCCATGCCCAGGAGTGGCTTCATAAGAGTGTAGGCTCCACTTCACCCCATTTCCCTGTTCCCTGATTCCCCCCAGCTCCTGGGTCCTTGGAAGTCTTAGGGGAGTGGGACTTGTGGGAGTGGGTGGGCAGTGGTGAATTCAGAATTGAGGTGGGTGGGGGGAAGGAAAGGGGGCACTAGATAGGGGACATGCTCTGCTTCGGAGGGTGGGCTCTGATTAGTTTACTCGAACTCTGGTCTGCCAAGGTCCATTTCCAAGTCAGCTGTGTTTGGCAATGGGGCTGTCGCTTCAGGGACCACACAGCTTACTTGGGTTGTTAGGCAGCTGGAGCTGGAGTGGAAAAGCCATGAAATACCCATAGCCCAGTGCTGGCTGTGCCTACTGCTTGGGCTGCCAACCTTGATATGCTCCTCCAGGGCCCTGGATGAGGGACTAGGGTGCCGGGGGCTCCCTCAGACCTGCGGCATCTACCTTGAGACTCCAAGCTCTGATTCTAGAAGGGCAGTCTCCTAGAATGGGGAGTCTGGAGGCAGCCAGTTATAGATAAAGGCAAATTCTGGAAGGGAGTTTTCCACGGGTGAAAGTTTTTCAGGCTCAGGGTGGGCTGTGCGTTAGTCTTGGGCAAATCTCTCACTATTCCTGCTGTTAAGCCCTCAAAGAAATGAGACAAAGTCACCCCCCAACCCCCACCCCCAAGCTCCCTTTGTGGACATTTTAGCATCTACCTGATTTTTAGTCCCGTCCGGGAGACTTTCTATCCCACCCCACTGTGGCTGTTTGTCCGCCAGCTGGGTCCAGCATCAAAGGGGAGGTGGGGTTTATACTCATTGAAAGACTACTGATCCTACCGGAAACCAACCTGTTTACTGTACTGTTGTAAATATCATGCCCTTTATATCCTGTATATTGGCTTCTTTTAAATAAAGTGAAATGTCTTAGAATTGATGGTGTATTTTTTTTAAATTGAGGATGAAGTGGTGATGGGGGAGGGGCAAGAGGCCTGAGTGCCATATAAACACAAAAACAAATTAGCCGGCGATAAAATAGGGAAATTTCACAACACCCGGTTACATTTGCATCTCACATTTGCATCTCACGATAGAATCTTTAGTAGTAGATACAGCGGGATTTACAATATGCATTTTACAAAAGGGGAAGAGAGAGCCGGCCAGAGACATCACAAGCTGAGTAACCGGCATAACCTGGTTTGGAATTGAAGTCCTGTTAATCAGAAAACACCCATTTCTTAAAGGGCTCCCCACAGTGCCCATGAGAGGCCAATTCCCGGGCTCTGGATTCGACATGGTCCAATGTTCTAGTTTCTTCTTTTTAATGGCCAAATTCAGGGAGACATTGCCTCATATGAACTGCCTCCCCACACCACCCCTGCAACTAGGGTTTTCCTTCGAGGATGAAGAGAAACAGCCTCACCAATTCCAATTTACTTTTTGCCAGCTCCAAGACTTACGCTTACTGTAGTTTCCCTCTTCCCACTCCCCACTCTATGTTTGTATTCCCAGAAGTGTCTTAAAGGGTGTGATGTTGTGGAGGAAAAGGAGTAGCATGAGATAATAAGGGCATTCTACGGTGGGTATTATTACCCCCACTTTACAGACAGGGAAACTGAGACCCAGGGAAGTTACGTTATTTTGCCAGTGTCCCAGACAGGAGCCACAATCAGCCCTGGAACTCTTGACTCCTAACTGTGTTCTTGGTTCACGCTGCTGGAGGGAATGTAAACAGATAAATTAGAAGAGGGTGTAAGAAAAGCTATAACTTTAGGAATGGGACCCAGTTATCAGGAAGTCTTCAGAATCCGAGTTTTTAAATAACGGTCAAGCCTTCAGCGAACTTCTCCAAGAGAAAACTAAAATTCGGATCCAGGGAGGAAAAGAAAGCGCTGGAGCCGACCGGTTTTGCGGCCAAAGGCTTTTAAGGAAAAACTAAGCATGTTCCGTAATCTGTAAGGAATCAGGCTGATTTATCTCGGCGCCAGGCTGGGAGGTGGAGGGTAGCTAGGTCCCGGTCAGTGGGCTGGAGACCGGGTCTACAGGCTCATCCCCAGGGCTGCAGACACCAGGGATGAGGCAGGGGGCTGGACCCCGTGTGGCTCTGAGGTGAGCCAGAGTCTGATAGCCAAAGGCCAAGGGCTGCCCTGAGTGGTCTGGCTGTGACAACCGTCACACCTAACGCGCAGACCAGCGGTCCCTACGCTCCGCCATACACGTGTTCCATTTCCGCTCTCTCATTGGTTCTTTTAGGCCCTCTCGTTAAGATTGCGACATGAGCGCCCCTCTGATTGGACCAGAAGCTTCTATGTGTCACTCTGATTGGCCGATGGGGCTCACGCCCTCTCTCCCTCAGCCCTCCAGAAGGAGGCTGGGTCATACTATAAAGAGAAAAGGGGGAAACGTGTATATTTCAGGACTTCCCTTTGGAATACCTTTTCCTATATTACGTAGTAGCCTCTACCATGCCCTCAAAAAGAGAATTATTTCATTAACATAGGGAAAATATAGAGGTTTTTCAGTTAACCCTGACTCGGAGGGCGGCCGGGTGATTCAGCACCCCCCACTTCCCGAGATGGTGAGCTCCAGGCGGGGCCGCGCCCTCTGCCTGCGTCCTGGGTGGGCCGCCCCAGGTGTACTGTCCCGCGAACGTCGCGCTGGAAGCTGGAGATGCTGCTACCGCCGGCTCTTCGTCGCGCCCTGCTGGCCCACCCCTGGAGAGGGGCCGGGTGAGTGAGCAGCGGGCCTGGGGAGGCCCCGAGCGAGTCTGCTGGCCCAGGGTCCCGGGAGTCGCTGGGCGCTCCCTGCAGCGGACTCCCTCCCTGCCGGTCTCCCGCCGGGTTCCCAGGGTCTCCCTTCCGCCCGGGGTCGCTTCTTCTAGTGCCTCCCCCGACGCATACCTTCCATGCACTGCGACCCCCTTGTCTCCTGCCTTCAGCGAGGGGGACCCCCTTCCCGAGTCCTGCGGCCGAGTTGGGTGCCCCGGGGCTCTCCCGGGTCCTATGCTCGGAAAGTAGCCTCCTGCGCACTCGTCTTGCTCCGAACAGTCGGTCTTGTAAATGTGCTCACCTCTGCAGTGTGCTGGCTTCCTCCCTCGGGCACCTCTGTTTTTAGCACACCATACTTCTCACCTTCCCACCCTCCGTCACACATTCAGGACCCAATGGGATCGATCCCCTGAGTCTTCCCTCTCCTCTGTCTACCGGGATTTCTACCTCTCTCTTCCTCTTCCCCTTTTTCAAGTTCAGTGTTGGGCAGAAAAAGGACTCCTTCTGGTGGGGGAATAATACTTATGGAGTGCTTATAATGTGCTAAATGCTGTATTAGGCATTTTGGTATATGCCTCCTTGCGGTGACTAATGAGGTAATACACTAACGTGCATTGAACAGTGGCGGCAGGCACATAGGCAATGCCCAGTTATTATCATGATCATCATGATCACTTGTATTTAAACTTCTGTGTGGTAGATATTGTTATTTCAAATGACAGATGAAGAAGCCAAAGTGTGGTTTCACAGTGGAGGTGCCGTGTAAAGCCAGTTTTGCAAATGCCTGGGTTTTTAGTAGAGTTGGGTTCCTGGACCCTTGCTCACTCAATGATAAATGTTCTCAGAGCCCCTTCCTCCTCTGGACTAGGTGGCAGCGGTAGGACACAGACCCTACCTCAGAGGGGCTCACAGTCTGGCCAGACTGCCCACTTATGGACCAGTGTTACTGTCTGTCTTTCAGAGCTGGGCAGCCCCACCCCCAGTTCGCATTTTGTTTGCCTGACCCCTAGGACTGTGACCAGCTGTGTCTCTCCTGCTGAGCTAGGCCCTTTCTGAGTTAATCAGTGTCCCAAGGGATGGCACAGGGGTGCCCTGGGCAGAGGAGAGCGTCTACACTGCTGTGTGTCCGCTGTGGGTGGGGATGGGATGGGGAAGGGCACAGGAAGAAGACACCTGAGAGAAGGGCTCCTCCCCCAAGCCAAGGCTGGGGCCACACTTGGCACACCCGCAGCATGGTCCCATTTGCTGGCCTCTCTGCACTTTTGAGACCACCCCTCTCAGACCCCAGGTGGAAGTCCCATCGATTTGTTTACTGAGTCCCTACCCAGTGCTGGTGCTGTGCTAAACACCAGCGAGAGGAGTACCCAAGGGATTTACATGTGGATGGGGCCTTCAAAAAGTTTTCAGTTGAATGGGGGAGAAAGACTTAGACATTAAAAAAAAAACAAAAAAAACCCCCATTATAACAATAATATTTATCATAAACATAAAATGGGCTCATCTGCAAATACTTTAAAAAAATTGTATTATAGTTGGTATCGATGGTACAGGCAGCCATCAATTTGTTCTCTGTATCTGAGTTTGTTTCTGTTTGGTTTGTTCATTTGTTTTGTGTTTTAGATTCCACATATAAGCAACATCGTATGGTATTTGTTTTTCTCTATCTGACTTGTGTCACTTAGCATATATCCTCTAGGTCCATCTGCATTGTCAGAAATGGCAAGTTTCATTCTTTCGTTATGGCTGAGTAATATTCCATAGTAAACACCTTCTTTGACCAATCACCTATTGATAGATACTTCGGTTGCTTCTGTATCTTTGCCACTGTTAAGTAATGCTGCGAGGAACATAAAGGTGCCTATATCTTTTCTAGTTAGTGTTTTGGATTTCTTTGGATAAATACTCAGAAGTGGGATTGCTGGGTCATATAATAGTTGTATTTTGAATGTTTTGAGGCACCTCCATACTGTTTTCCGTAGTGGCTGCACCAATTTGCAGTCCCACCAGCAGTGCTTGAGGGTTCCTGTTTTCTACATCCTTGTCATACTTTGTGGTCTTTTTGATAACAGCCACCCTGACAGGTGTGAGGTGATATCTCATTGTGATTTTGATTTTATTTCCCTGATGATGGGGTCATGCTGAGCATCTTTTCATATGTCTATTAGCCATGTGTGTCTTCTTTAGAGTAATGTCTATTCATGTCCTCTGCCCATTTTTTAAATTGGATTTTTTATTTATTTATTTTTAAAATTTTTTTTTTAGCTGAGCCATCCTGCCACCTGTTGGCAGCTCAGCGGCAGCTCAGCTCAGGCCGGGCATCAAACCTCTGTTGCTCAGAGCTCAAACTCTTGAGCAAGCTCTTAACCAACTGAGCCACTTGGCCGGCCCGGATTTTTTTTTTTTGATGTTGAGTTGTATGAGTTCTTCATATATTTTGGATATTAACCCTTTATTGGTTATATCATTTGCAAATATATTCTTCCATTCAGTAGATTGCCTTTTTGTTTTTTTGATGGTTTCCTTCATGGTGCAAAAGCTTTTTCGTTTGATGTAGTCCCCTTTGCTTATTTTTGCTTTTGTCACTTTTGCCCTAAGAAACATATCCAAAAAAATATTGCTAAGAGCAATGTCAAAGAGTTTACTGCCTATGTTTTCTTACTGCCTATGTAGAGGTTTTATGGTTTCAGTTCTTACATTTAACTTTTAACCCATTTTGAGTAATAAAATAAAAATGGTGTTTGAAAGTGTTCTAGTTTCATTTTTTTGCATGGATCTGCCCAGTTTTCCCAGCACCATTTATTGAAGAGACTGTCTTTCCCCTATTGTGTCTTGCCTCCTTTGTCAGAGATTAATTGACCACCTAAGCATGGGTTTATTTCTGGGCTCTCTATTCTGTTCCATGGATCTGTATGTCTGTTTTTATGCCAGTGCCATAACTCCCACTTTGTTCTTCTTTCTTAAGATTGCCGTGGCTGTAAATACTTTTTTGTCACTTGCTTTTTCACTTCATAGACTTGTCTACCTCACTGTATGTCCCCAGGGCCTAGAACTGTGTCTATCATCTGGCAAGCCCTCAGCAAACATTTGGTGAATGAACGAATGAATGACCACAGTCCTTCCTTGTCTACAGATATTTATCACGACCAGTCTTGAGACAACCACCACAGACACCTTACGGATGGCCCAGGGATGCTCACCAATGGCAGTGACTGCCATTTGCCTTTTATGTGGATACTTTTACTTAGCTCCTCAGCAACTTGTGATGTAGGTGTCACTATCCCCATTTCACAGATTAAACAACTGAGGCCCGTGGACATTAAGGAAAACTAGGGCCTTAAGCTAGTAAACACCAGGCCTGCCGGTTGACTGCCCCCTGTCTCCTTTGTCCCTGACCTCCTGCCCTTTTCTCTATTTCATTAACTTTATCATGGATGTCCCTGGTTATATACATGCAAATTCTTTTTGGAAAGGGCCAAGATACATATTTATATTTACATATAAGTTTAATAAAAAAACCCCAAAAACCTGGCCCAGGCCCAGGTACACAGTAAGCTTACAATGAATGTCAATTTTTGTCCCTTACGTGCTCTGGTCCCACCCTGCTAGGTGCCAGGAGTCCAGAGATGACCCCAACTAGGCCCCCCAATGTCAGGGGGCTTGTGGGCTGGAATTGGCCACTGCCCCTTCCCCTGCAGGAATCTTGGGTAACTCTGGACTCCTTTCAGCCCACCTGCCTGTTTAATTTTCAAAATTTCAAAACCATCCAATGCTTATCCCAGCCTGCCTGCCCCTTGGCTGGGCCTGTGTTGTGCTGGGCAGGGGCCTGGCACTTGTCACCATTCCCTGAACATACTCTGCTGTCTCACTCCAAGCAGTAGCTGGGTAGTGCCTCTTGCCTGGAATGTCTTCCCCTGGTGAACCCGCACTCACCCAGTGCCTTGTGGCCTTGGCAAGGCAGCTCTCCTTTGGCCCTTCGGTTTGTACAATGGGGATAATCCTATCAACAGCCATGTGGCGCAAGGGTTAGAGAGATGATGTGACCAATGGCTTGCTGGGGGCCTGGTACCCAGTGTGTTGCTCTGTAAATATCAAGTGAAGGAATTAGTAGAACCTACAGTGATCCTAAAACTTGCTTCTGAAGTTGTTAGAAAGTCCCTACTGGGGCAGCAGTGGGCATGGCACACATTGGAGCACTCGCTTCTATTGCCAGGCTCCTGGCTCGGCACACTGTAAGTGCTGAGCAGTTGCTGTCGGAGACAGTGGAGCAGGGGCGGCCATTTGCAAGACTGGGCAGAGGGCAGCAGGTGGTGAGTCCTGGTTCCACCCGTGAGGTCTGTGGCCCTGGGCAGGTTACTTTGACCTCTCCGTGCTGCCTCATGTTCTAATAGGGAAAATAAAGATATTAGTAGCCACCTTATAGAATTTTCTTGGAGATTAAATGAATTCATACACGAAAACCACTTGGAAGAGTATCCACCACCTAGAAAACTGAGTATGTGTTGCTTCTAATCATTATTTTGATCCCCTATGCCACTAATGGGCTGCCCTGAATGACCATCCTTTATCAGGACCATCAAGACCAGAGGGTCCCTTCCAGCAGCACAAGGGTGGTGGCAGGTGTGAGAATCAGATGTCCTCAGCCTTTCCCCTTTATTCTCATTGATTCCCCCAGTGCAAACCGCGTTCCCATGGGATGGACAAGACACCTGCCCTTCTGGGGGTCTCCTTACCCCCCAGACCTTTCCTTTCCTGGCAGAGACAACATCATGGAGTAGATAGCCCTGGGCTGCATTAGCAGTGCCAGTGGACAACTGTGTGACCTTGTGTAAGCCACTGCCCATCTCAGGGCGGCCCCTTTCCTCAGGTGGGAGACACTAGGAGAGAGGAGGTGCCAGCTGGGTGGTGAGGAGGATGACCCTGTCCCATCAGCCCCAGCTGACGGTGGGTCTCTGAGATGACCCAGGTGTTCTGCCTAAGTGTATATCTCCTGAGTGAAGAAGACCTGGGTTCAAATCCTGCTCTCATTTGACCATGAGCAATGAGGAGTAATGTCATCTCTGAACCTCAGTTTCCTCATCCATCCAATGGAGGTAATAATCCATTTGTAGGGTGGATTCAATGAGATAATCACTTAGCGTAGTGCCAGGCACGTAGTACAGAGCGTGACAACTAAGTTTGCGAACTTGTTGCATCAGAGGGATTATTAATTATGAATTTGTACTAACTGGACAAACAGTTAACCAACTTTACTATTTGGAAGTGCTGAAAAGGCTGTGTGAAAAAGTTAGACACCCTGAACTTTTCACCAACAATTCATGGCTCTTGCATCACGACAATGCACCAGCTCACATGGCACTGTCTGTGAGGGAGTTCTTAGCCAGTAAACAAATAACTGTATCGGAACACCCTCCGTACTCACCTGATCTGGCCCCCAATGACTTCTTTCTTTACCCGGAGATAAAGGAAATATTGAAAGGAAGACATTTTGATGACATTCAGGACATCAAAGGTAATATGATGACAGCTTTGATGGCCATTCCAAAAGAAGAGCTCCAAAATTGCTTTGAAGGGTGGGCTAGGCGCTGGCGTCGGTGCATAGCTTCCCAAGGGGAGTACTTCGAAGGTGACCATAGTGATATTCAGCAATGAGGTATGTAGCACTTTTTCTAGGATGAGTTCGCGAACTTAATTGTCTGACCTTGTAAGTATTCAGTAAAGGTTCTGTGATGTTTTCTGGGGCATTAAAGTAGAAACAGCTGGCTGTGATGCCGCTCCTTCTGGACCTGCCCTGGGCCTTTCTCTCTGCTCACCTCCACTGCTGGCCCCTTGTCCCAGTGATAAGGAGGATTAGTTTTACCAAGTCCCAGATAGCTGGGAAATCCTGGGCACTGAATGAAGCAAGGGTAATTCCCTTTCTACGCCTCTTTTTGGACTTCACCACCCCCTACCCCAGCCACTGTGGGGCCCAAGGGGCCTGCGTCCCGCCCCCGGTGTTGGCAGAAGAGCACTGGCCTGGGAGTCCAGCCCTGAGGGCCTGGTGTTGGCTCTGACACCAATTGTGCATTCGTTGTTTTAAAAGGTATTTCTCAAATGCTTACTTGTGGGCAGCCAGGCATTATTGTGTCCAGTGGTGAACGGAATGGACACAGGCGGGCCAAGTGGAGATTATGGCCTGGTGGGAGCACAGACGGCCTGTCAGAGCTCCGTCATGAGGGTTGTCATTGGTGCTTTGAGAAAAGTGCAAGGCTAAGGAGGACCCGACAGGGGCCCATCCAGACGGTGTGAGGCCACCCACGTGCAGAGCATCCCACACAGAGGGGACCTCAGAAATGACCAGGGTGACTGGGTTGCCGCAAATGAGGGCGTCGGGTCTGGAGGCCTCGGTGAGGATTCTGATTTTTTTTTTGTAGAAGAAACGAGAGTAGTTCTCTCATTCGCTGAGTAGTTCTGAGCCAAGCACTGACTCCCTGTATTTGTTTCTCTGTCTGATGATCAAACTTACATGTTAAAACTATTGGGTTGTCGGAAAAGTCATGACTCATTTTTGCAACGAAAAACAGAAAAAATACGTCATGACTTTTCCAACAACCCAATATAGTAACTGGTTGCGGTTTGGAGAGTAGCTTGGAGACAGCGGAGCAGGAGTGGCCATTTGCAGGCGTCCGGGCAAAAGCTGATGGTGTGCGGGACCAGCGTGGAGGCCACTGGCGGCCTGGGAGCTCAGCCCACCTCGCTTCTCCTCACTTTTCCCCTCTGTGAATGTCTGAGCTGGCACTGGCTGGCCCAGAGCTCCATCCAGCCCTGACGTTGCCCATTGCAGGAGGGCTTTTGATGCTGCAGCTTTTTTATTTTTTTTAGCTTAGATCCTGGTACCTGCAGAGGGTGGAGAGGGGAGTTAAGATCTCACACCCAGGCGGGGAGGTCCCCCAGGTGAGCAGAGGGGGCTTCCCAGGTTGTTAGGAAAATCTGAGTCAAATTCAGACCCTGCCCTATGCCTCCTTCCTGAAGTGGAAGGGCTGAGAGCTGCCCTAAGCGAGGCCGAATCCGGTTCATCTCTGCATCCCAGAGCCGGGCACCTGGTGGGTGCTCAGGAAAAGTGATGAAAAAGTGTGTGAGCCCTTTTGACCTCATCTGACTTATCACTGCGTCCTTGAGGTGTGGAGTGAACGTCCTGCCTAGAAAGCGCCTTGTGCATCCTCATAGAGGCTGAAATTCATGTGTGAGATTCATCTCCCCCTTCCCCTGAGCCAATGGACGTGCTCCTGTTAACCCCAAATGGCCCATGAGCCCCCTCCTTCCTCCACCCCCAAATTGACAGGAGTCCCTGGATTTTTTTGGCTGTTTTACTCAGGCTGATCTTTGAACTAGTCGCTGTCCCCCAGGCCACACTCAGACTGATGGACAGCTGGGCCAGGGCCTGGAGAACTTCCAGGCGTAGAGAGAGCCATGTTGGCATGTGATCCTGAGGTCACAGTGGGCCTCTGCCCTGGGGAAGGTGGAGGGAGGCCTGCGGGATTTGTTTCTGACACTGCCTGGGAGGGAACAGGGAATGGGGAGCTGGTACCTATGCCATTTTCAGCTTCTGCCTGGTTGGAATATGGTGCCAGTTTATTCCAGCAGTATCTGTTGAGCACCTGGGCCAACGCCCTGCCCCTTGCGGGTGTCTGGGAACCATTTTGCCTTTGAAAGCCCAGCCCGGTGGAGTGACATCCTGGAAGACCTTTACAATTGTCTTAAAATAAACCTAAGAGCAGGAAGGGCGAGGAAGCAAGCAAGCGGTTTTAGTTTTCACAGCGACCTACCCCCATTTTTTCAGGTGAGGAAACAGAGGCCCGCAGAGTTGATAATAATGTGCTGAGGTCTCGGAGCAGGTGTGGGTTTTGGTCCGGGATATGTCTGCTTCCAGAGCCTTTGCTCTTCTGCACCCACCAGGAACTGGGGTTCAGGGAGGGGTTGGGGCGGCTTGCCTCCTGGCTCCAGCCCAGCACCTGTTCCCTGCTGACTCTCAGGGGCATCCTCTTGGCTTAAAGAGCACATGGCCATGTCTGATTTACTGATTGGTAGCGGTGTGCTGCTACTGAGGCCCAGGGAGGGGCTGCGGGAACCTTGCAGACGGCCCTGGGAATAGACGCTGCCCTCCCCTTTCCTGAGGGGCTGCTGGGGCTTGTGGCAGCTGGTCTTTTCTGGCCTCTTCATTTTTTCCCACAACAACAGGTGGGAAGGGCAGTGCGGATTTTAATTTATTGAGCACATCTGTAATTTAGCATTATTACCTCGTCAGATCTCCATAGTAACCCCATGAGACGGGTGTCAGCCCTAGACAGTGACTGGCCCAAGGTCACACAGCTAGTGGGAGGATGAGCTAGCCCCACATTTCTTCCTGTGCTCAGGGAGAGGGTGGGGTCTGAGGAATGTGCTTGGCTTCCTTGGGTATGGTGGGTGTGGCCTGGGGGTGGGTGGGGGAGAGGAGGTAGAAGGTCCCAGTGCTTGGGGATCTTAGGTGACCCGGCCCTGCCCCCTCTCCCCTTCCTCAACCACACAGGCCCCTTTCTGCTCTTCCTTTCCTAGACTCCCCACTCAGGCCCTTTGCACTTGCCCTTCTCTCTGCCTGGACCACTCTTACAAGGTCAGACAATTAAGTTCGCGAACTCATCCTAGAAAAAGTGCTACATACCTCATTGCTGAATATCACTATGGTCACCTTTGAAGTACTCCCCTTGGGAAGCTATGCACCAATGCCAGTGCCTAGTCCACCTTTCAAAGCAGTTTTGGAACTTTTTTTTTTCTGGAATGGCCATCAGAGCTGTCGTTGTATTTCCCTCGATACTCTGAATGTCATCAAAATGTCTTCCTTTCAATATTTCCTTTATCTCCGGGTAAAGAAAGAAGTCATTGGGGGCTAGATCAGGTGAGTAGGGAGGGTGTTCCAATACAGTGATTTGTTTACTGGCTAAAAACTCCCTCACAGACAGTGCTGTGAGAGCTGGTGCATTGTCATCACGCAAGAGCCATGAATTGTTGGTGAAAGTTCAGGTCGTCTAACTTTTTCATGCAGCCTTTTCAGCACTTTCAAATGGTAAAGTTGGTTTACTGTTTGTCCAATTGGTACAAATTCATAATGAATAATCCCTCTGATATAAAAAAAGGTTAGCAGCATCGTTGCAACAAGTTCGCGAACTTAATTGTCAAACCTGGTACGTATACCTCCCCCAGAGGTCACCTCCTCAGAGAGGCCCTCTTTGACCACCCTGGCTGATGTATCCCCACCCTTCCCCTTACTGACTCATTTTCGGGTCCCCTTTGTCGTCATCGTGTTTATTTCTTGCTCGTGTCCCCCTAGAGGTCAGCTGCGTGCAGCCAGAGGCCTTGCCATCTTGGTCACCGCTACATCTCCAATGTCTAGAACAGCGTCAGACACGTTGCAGGTGCTCAGTCACCTTGTGTGATGATGCAGGACCTGCCCTCGTGGCCCCAGTTTTGTGTCCTTCCTCTAGGCCTCCCAGGCTGGGTCTTTGAGCCCCCAGACCTCTTCCTAGTGAGAAAGAAAAACAAGTGGTCCGACCCTCATAGTCAGGCCGTTTTGTTGTCCTGTTGGGCATAAGCCGCCTTACAGAACACCAGCCTCAGACAAGGTCACTCTGAGACCATGATGAAATGAGGCGCAACAAGCCCACTTCGTAATTTTGTCTAAGCACAGACAAAACCAAGGTCACCGTGCCACCGCCAAAGTACGAGACGTCCCCCTCTCTTGCTAAATGAGGAACTGCATCCCCCAGGTGTGCATTCTCCCTGCTGCAGTGGCCAGTAACCTCGCTTGGACAGCCTCAGGTGTGTCTCTACTGGTCCCTGGCTGGGGGCGTTGACACCAGAGGGAGGTGATACCTGGGTTTTTCTGGACTCAAACCCACATTCCTCCTGATCTTGGTCGTGAACTAGTCATTTTCCTTTCAGGACCTAAATTACTTATTTCTGTAACAGGGTCTTTGGCGACCCTGATAGGCTCATCTATGATGGGTGGGAGGTGTTAGCAAGCCTAACAAGCCCTGTTTGCGTTAGGTGGCTTTTGTCATTAATGTCCCCATTTACAGATGAGGAAACTGAGGCCTGGAGGAGAAGTCCCACAGCCAGGGCTCCAGCTCTGGAATGGCTGACCCCCATACACTTTAGGGGTGATGGTCATAGAGGTCACTAATCATTGACGTCATAGGTTCCAGGTTGAATAGTGGCTCCAGAGCAAGGAGTTCTTGGAACTCAGTACCCGGGACTCAGACCCTGAACCCCCAAACCAGCCCTTCCTGTCCCTGTGAACAGCTTCGGGCACGCCTCCAAGTTCACGGTCCGCATCTTGGATGTTCTTGCTCAGCGCGTTGTGCCCGGGACTCTCCGCTGGTTCGCATGCTGATGAGACCCAGCTCTGGAATGTCTTGCCTTTTCAGCTTAAAGAAAGAAGTGACTTGGGTCTACTTTGGGGTAACGTTTGCATTGTGGGGAAAAGAAGGGACAATAAGCTCTCTCAGTGTCCAGAACACTTAGAAATATGGATTTCAACCGCAAACAGCCATGTGAGTTTGTATGATTATTCTCACTTCCTAGATGTAGAACAGGCTCAGAGGAGGCAGGTCATGTGCCCAAGGACACACAGTGGCAGGACTGGGAGTTGAGCTTGCACTTAGATTTCTGGACCCCGAGGCCTGTTCTCACCCCCCGTTTTATAGTTGCTCTGGATTTCAGGATTCTGGGCCAACACGGGACCCCCTGTTGGAGCGAGAGGGGCTGGGGCTAGCGGTGGTCTCTGCTGACCTGTCTGCCTCTCTGCCCCACCCTTGCCTCCAGGCTTCTGTGGAAGCACACCTCCTCCCTGAAGGTGACCAACGAGCCCATCTTGGCATTCACGCAGGGCAGCCCTGAGCGAGAAGCTCTGCAAAAGGTAAGGAAGGGTGGGGGCACCCAGGGGGTATAGGGCATAGAGCAGAGACAGCCTTCAGCAGCTGCCAAAATGCTTCTTTGTGCCTACAGCCATTACCCTCTGCTGCCCCTGCTCCCAGCCCTGGAAGGAAACCTGGAGTCTCGGGAGAGCTGTGTGTCTGGGACCCTGTCTGGAGGGTGGGAGCAGCAGGGTGGCAGCCGGGGCCTCTTTGGAGCCTCAGTCCAGGTCAGGGGTCCTAAACCCACAGATGTTTTATGTTTCCAAACATTCTTTTATTAATTGCCAGTGTTTTAAAAATTGTGAGGTTTCATGTACAAGCAAATTTCAGGTGCAGTTTTTAAAATCTTTTTTGTAACGGGAAAACCTGGCCATGGTGGCCTCACTTTTCTGCATGACAGGAAGTGACAGTGGAGGGGGGCTAGTCCCCTGAGGGGAGCCACGTTCTCTGGCCACAGCCTGGCCTGGCAGCCTTCTCTGTTTCTGCCTGGGCATCTGTGTTTGCAGACTCCGCATCGGGTTTTAGGTGGGGAGAGGAGGGCAAGGAAGTGCCCGTCTGACACCCTGTCCTTTCCCAAGGCCTTGAAGGACCTGAAGGGCCAGACGGAAGCCATCCCATGCGTGGTGGGGGACGAAGAGGTGTGGACCTCAAACGTGCAGTACCAGGTGTCGGTAAGTGCAGTGAGTGGGCACGGCTCGGTCTCTCCCTGAATCTGGGTCTGTCTCTCGGGCAGCACGTAAGCACGTGATGTGGGATCTCTGCCTCCAACGGGGTTTGTAGTCTACTCCCAGATGTTGGATTCTGTGCACCGGTATGAAACTTCCAAAAGCAGTTTGGGAGTCGGGGGGCAGCTGTCATAAAAGGTGCCAACTTCACACCTGCCAAGAGGCAGTTAAAAACAATGACTGTCACCAGCTTCACCATCCCTAGAAAAGTTGACTCACTGACCACCTAGAGCAGCAGTTCTCAACCTTCCTAATGCCGCGACCCCTTAATACAGTTCCTCATGTTGTGGTGACCCCCAACCATAAAATTATTTTCGTTGCTACCCTATAACTGTAATTTTGCTAATGTTATGAACAGTAATGTAAATATCTTTTTGTTTTCCGATGGTCTTAGGCGACCCCTGTGAAAGGGTCGTTTGACCCTCAAAGGGGTCATGACCCACAGGTTGAGAACCGCTGACCTAGAGAGTATGAAGTAAGGATAGGATGTTAGAATTTACGATAATCCTTCCAAAGAAAGGATAGCCACTAAAGCCCTGGTCTATATTTGGGAACCACTGTTCTAGCAGATGATGAGCTCATCTGAAGTAAGCACCCAGGGTGTAGCCAGGTAAGCACCCAAAGTATGGCCAGGTGAGCACCTAGGGTGTGGCCAGGTAAGCACCCAGGGTGTGGCCAGGTAAGCACCCAGAGTATGGCCAGGTAAGCACCCAGGGTGTAGCCAGGTAAGCACCCAGGGTGTAGCCAGGTAAGCACCCAGAGTATGGCCAGGTAAGCACCCAGAGTATGGCCAGGTAAGCACCCAGAGTGTGGCCAGGTAAGCACCCAGGGTGTGGCCAGTTAAGCACCCAGAGTATGGCCAGGTAAGCACCCAGAGTATGGCCAGGTAAGCATCCAGGGTGTGGCCAGTTAAGCACCCAGAGTGTGGCCAGGTAAGCACCCAGGGTGTGGCCCGCTGGAGCCAAGGCTCCTTCCACAGACGTATCTGTGGTGCCCTGTCCACAAGCTCCTCCTTTAGCCTCTGCCAGTCCCCTTAGAGGTGGGAAGAGCTGGAAGTCAGCTGCCCATTTCAGAGATCAGGGGAGAAGCTCAGAGATGTCAAGTGACTGGCCTGGGGTGACACAGTTAGCTATGGAACGGGGATGATAGACCCAGCTGTCCAGATCATATCCCATTGGTTTTGATTCATTCCTTCGTACTCTGACTATTCTTAAAGAGAACCTAGAAGCAGCTTATTAATTAGCAGGAATATGTGTTTTAAACCACTGGAAGCTATTGACGGTGACGTCAAGAGACTTTTCCAGCCCACCCACCCTGGTTTTCACAGGGGTATAGTGTGAGTTGTGTGGTGTTGCTAACTAGCTAGACAGCCACACTGTGCCCAGCCCATAACTGAGTCCTATCCACATAGCATTTTCTGTTATTCTTGATGGATTTTTCCACAAGGTGGTATAGGGGGTAGCGGTGGGCTAGGGTGAGAATGGGCTCCAAGCCCTGTGATGACATGGGCCTAAGAAGCCCACCGGCTTGGAGTCTATGGAGCCACGAACTAGCGTACACTTTGGGTGGATCAGGAAACTCATAGGCCTATAATTTGGGGAGTCAAGGGTGGCCCTTATGTAGCTGGGTAAGCACATTCTGTCTCTGTCCAGATGGACCCCTGAGCAGGTGTAGGCAGGGGGAAGCGGGAGGACCCAGGGTCCCCACTCTAAGGGTTCTGAGGACATCCTGGGGCAGGAGTGCCCCATGGAGGTGACCTGCTGCTGAGCAGCGACCAGAGGGCCTGACACCTGGAGTCGTCGGAGCACAGCCTGGGACCTCCGGTCTGCACCAGGTGTGTGCCAGGTGTCAGCCGAAAATGGCTCCCACGGCCTCACTCACCAAGTCAAGCCTCTGTAACTGCCCAGAGCCCGCCCTTACCTGCAGGTCCCCAGGCCTCCACGGCCGCCGAAGCACCTGGCTGTTTTCCAGGCAGCTGGAATTTTGATAACCCCCTGGGTGGGCGCTTCATTTCTCATGTTACCTCACTGACCTGGCCATGTGGTAATCACTGGAGCCCAGGCATAGGGAGCAGTTGAAGGCAGCGAGGGCAGGAGCTGTGTTGCCTCCGGGTATCCATAGTCCATTCGGACGTGCTGAATTGAAGTGCCTGGGTTCTAGCTGCCTTCTCAGGCCCCTAGGTGTCACAGGTCAGTCTCAGGTGTGGACAGGACACAGGTGATCGTGTCAGGGGCTAAAGGGAAGGGAAAGGGGCCGCTTCTACTGAAACCTAGACCGGCACTCCTGCACGATGATGGAAACGTCCTGTATCTGCGTGGTCCATCACAGCCACCACCAGTCACACGTGGTTATCGAGGGCATGAAATGTGGTTCGTGCAGTGGACGGAGCTTAAATGCCAATGCACGTGTGGCTAGTGGCCGCCCTATTAGAAAAGTCCCAAACAGTCCATTGGCAAAAGTGTTGATAATTATGGTGTAAAATACGTATGTCACCAGCCCTGGGTAGGGAAAGACGGGGAATCTCTCCCCGCTTTATTGCTCCTGCCGGCATCCAGCGCTGCAGGGGTCTGTCAGTGTTCGTTAGCATCGTCCCTTTTAGATAAGTAAATCTGAGTCCCATGCCAGCGGCTCGGGACGCAATGGCTCTGTTCCCTGGGGACTTTGGGGCCACAGCAGGACTCCCGAGTGTTTCACAACACCAGTGCATTGTTTTGGGCCTCCCGTGCTGGCAGCTGCCATCACTGAGCCGTGTGGTAATCCTTGGAGCCCAGGCATATGCCAGGGAATCTCATGCCAGACCTGGTTTGAAGAATCTTCACCTATGGCCGGATTCGGTCCTCCTCTCTGTGCCCTGAGGCAGGGAAGTCCCCATCTCCCAGATGGAGAGACGTGGAGAGGGGAAGTCAGTTTACATACTTCCCACAGTTTACACCCCACAGCTAGTAGATGGCAGACTGCGATTCAAACCCAGTCTGTCTGACCATCAAGTCTGTGCTTTCCCTGAAAGACTGTGCGGTCCATGCCTGTCTCATAGACCCGGAACCTTCCAGAGCAGGAGTATGTCTTACTCATCTAATAGCAGATGCTCCGTAACTCTCAAGGGGCTGAGGTCCGTGTGGCTGGGGTGCCTGGAGAACGCTTCATGGGGCTTGGAGGGGGGAGAGCGAGTGTGCCGAGGGCGCCTGCCTAGAAAGCCGGCCCCGAGCCCCGCCCCCAGCCTGGCACCTCTCCCGAGCAGTGACCTCACTCTTCTCCTCTTTCAGCCCTTTAACCACGGACACAAGGTGGCCAAATTCTGCTATGCAGACAAGGTGAGTCCCTGATGACTTTGGGGTTGGGGTGCTGCCCCTGTGTTGTCCTGCTGGCTGCTGACATGGAGGTGGACGTCAGACACTGCTTCCCTCCCTGCCATGGGGGGTGGGGACGTAGCTGGGGGCGCTGGGACTGAGGGAGTCCCTGGGCTGGTGTCTTGAACAGGGCCAGGCAGGTAAGGGTTAACTTTAGCCAACTGGGAGCTGCCTTGGTCAGGGCTGGGACATCTCTGGACATGGCTTTCGCTTTGGGCAGAGGGAGTAGATTCCGGAGACTGAGTCAGGGAAATTGGAGACATCATGGATGGAAAGCCAGACAGGGAATTACATTATGGAGGACCATGGAGAGGGGATGGGGTGACCTGTGGCAGGGGCTCTAGGAGCTGGCATCATGTGGCTATGAGGGCCGTTGGCATCTGGGATGCCAGCAGTGTGTATATTTCAGGCTGTGGTTCTGGCCTATCAAGGGGAAGGCCAGGCCCCTGACCTTGAGGGCTGGGGGCTCTGGATGGTGGGTTCAGGGGCCCCAGGCCCCAGGAATAAGGTGAAGCCCTGATGAGACGGTGAGAGAAAGTGGAGTAGCTTTAACAGCTGAGGGACTTGGGGCCAAATGCTTGACATGCTGACCTCGCTGGCAGCAGGACAGGTTCTGAGTCTGGGGTGGCCTCGCCGGCGATGGGACGCAATGTCTGCAGCTGTGGAGAGCGGGGCCTGAGGGCCAGGGGGACCAGGAGTCTTCCCGGGTGGAGAGTAACCCCCAGCTCGCTCTCCCCTCGTTCATTCCCCTGCGACTCTTACTGCTGCAGGAGGAAGCCCCAACCTTTTCCTCTTCGTTAGGCCCTGCTCAACAAAGCCATCGAGGCTGCCTTGGCCGCCAGGAAGGAGTGGGACCTGAAGCCTGTTGCAGACCGGGCCCAGATCTTTCTGAAGGCAGCAGATATGCTGAGCGGGCCACACAGGGCAGAGGTCCTTGCCAAGACCATGGTGGGACAGGTGAGGCGCCTATGGGCACAGTGGGGGTGGGATGGGAGGCAGCAGCACCCCATCCATTCAGCGGACATCAGCCGAGCAGCTCCCGGGTGCCAAGGCCTGCTCTGCTGGCTGGAGACTGAGAGGTCCTCAGGGGACAGGGCCGAACAGAGGGGACAAGCATACGTTGTGAGACAGGGTGGACTGTGCTAAGCCTGTGTCCTGCCATGGAAATGTCCCTGCCCCGCCTTCTCTGTCCCCACCGTAGGCCAGGCCTTTGTCGTGCTCTGCCTGGACTGTCAGCTGCCCTGTGCAGTGCTCTAGGCTCCGTCAGAGCCCTGCTGCCCTGAGAGGTTTTTCCGACACCTCTAGCAGGTCACTCCAGGCTTAGATCATCAAGATCCCTGTCACCGAGAGTCCTCACTTCCAAGTCCTGGGTCCACGCCCCCCCCCGCCCCCCCACTCTGCCCTTTCCATAAGGCTGTCCCGCCCATGACGTTGCCCCAGTCTGAACCTAGCAAGGCTCTAGGACACCACAGGCGTCCCATCTCCCTGGCTCTGCCCCGCGTCCCCTGCGTGAAATGTTCTCTTCTCTGCCCTGTGAATGCTTACCCGATAAGGTCTAGCCCAGATGTCACCTCCTCTGTGAAGCTTCCGGAACCTTCTCTGTCCGAAAGGATCACAGACTCACTCCCATAGCATGCTGTTCATTTTGTCAGCTACAGCTCAGTTCACTTTGGGGTGTAATGAGTTCCTGTGTATTTGTCACCCCTTCGCAAGCCTTTGAGGGATAGTAATCATGTGTTACTGTTCTCCACCTTTCTGGGCCTTGCATCAGGTCTTCCTGGAGTCATAGGAGCTCCAGATACACGTGTTTTGAGGGAGTGCATGGTGAGCCGGAGAGTAGCAATAGCAGCCCAGAGTGCTGGGGAAAGGAGCAGAGGGACGAAGGTTGATTTCATCACCCCCAGGAAGGGGCCTTAGGGGGGGGTTGAGTCAGCCCAGCGCCTTTCCTGCAGTGAGGGCTCCCTCTGCTGCACAGAGGTGGTATGACAGCTCCACGCTGCCAAGTGCCTCCCAATTTTCTCAGCAGCCCCTGGGGTGGGTGTCAGGCACCAGAGTGTCCCAGATGAGGCGCACCTGGGCAGGAAGAGACACACGCACTCCAAGACCCAAGATTAAGGTGCCTCTTTATTTGAAGACTCAGGAGCTTGTAGGAAGCTCGGTAGCCGTGCAGAGCAGGAGGCAGTGCATCTTAGCTCAGCTTCTTTGGCTCCTCGTCCTAAGCAGGGCAAGCAGCTGCCAGTGACCTTATGTGCCAAGGCGGGTCCAATAAAGGTCCATTCTTGTTGCCCAGAGTCCTTTCCCTGCGGCTCACATTCGCTCTCAGGAGAAACAGACATTCTAAGGAAACGTGTACAGTCGTGAGGCCTCCTGCTGGCTCAGTGCACCCAGTGAGGGCACGTACTCATCCCAGGGCGGGAGCCACCAGCACCCTGCCTACGATGTCACCGTGGGCACAAGGTCCAGTGTGAGGGCTAATGGGAGGCAGTCTGCCACCGCTGACCCCCTGGCCCTCCCGCCTCTCAGGGTAAGACGGTGATCCAAGCGGAGATCGACGCCGCGGCCGAGCTCATCGACTTCTTCCGATTCAACGCCAAGTTTGCTGTGGAGCTGGAGGGGGAGCAGCCCATCAGCGTGCCACCCAGCACCAACCGCACGGTGTACCGGGGGCTGGAGGTACCCACAGGTGCAGGGCGGGAGGGGGCTGCTGGGGGCCTTGAGCTTGGCCTTACTGCCTCCTCTGTCTTCAGGGCTTCGTGGCGGCCGTCTCCCCCTTTAACTTCACTGCAATTGGTGGCAACCTGGCAGGGGCGCCGGCCTTGATGGTGAGATGTGGGCAGCGGGCAGGGATGGCGGGAGCTCGGCAGCATTCCCGTCTCAGCAGACATTTGAACCCCTCAGGTCCCAGCCCTAGTCATGGGGAGAAGCACAGAAAGTGGAGGTGGTGTGGGGCCGTGGAAAGGCTCTGGGGTCAGAGGCTGGTTTGGGTCCCTGCTCTGGGCGAGCCCAGGCAAGCCCCCGCACTGTGCTGAGGCAGTTTCCTCCTCTGCAAAGTCTAAATAACAGGAAAGCCTGCAACACATGGATGTGAGGAGTAAATGAGGCCAGGCATGTGGCACGTCTCATGCGAGGCAGGTCTGGCCCTGTGCGGGCTTAGCGTATGGTGACTGTTAGTGATGATGATATGATAATTATAGCTCACCTCTGAGTGCTTGCTAGGTGCCTGGTGACTTAATTGTCAGGGTTGCACGGCTAGTAAATGATGGGCCAGATAAGGATTCAGGCTTAGGTTTTTTTGTTTTGTTTTGTGTTTTTTTAATTGGGGAATTGGGGGGATGGGAACAGTGCTGGGGAATTGGGGGAAGGGGAACAGACAAGTTGCTGTCGTGTTTTGTTCTTCAGTCTAGTTGTGGAGGACATTGCTTCACTGGCCCAAGTTGGCACCATCATTGCGCTCTTCCCGGGTGAGGCAGATCAGTC